GTGTGTGTGTGTGTGTGTGTGTGTGTGTGTGTGTGTGTGTGTGTGTCAGCCTCACCTGCATGTAGGCAGCCCACAGAGCCATGCAGTTGGTGGGCAGCCCCAGAACGATGACTATGATGTAGAGTGTGGGCTGGAAGAACTGGTCCACCTTACTGTCCACATCACAGGAGGAGATGTTGCACATTGTCCTGTGTGAGGCTCTTTGTTTGTGTGTGTGTTTGTGTGCACCCAGGTGTGTTGTGTGTGCCCTCAGCTCTGGGTTTCCCTCCTCTGTAGCTTATTCCAGCTCCGTCGGTCAGACAGCGGCATGCCGACTCTGACGTCCTGCTCAGCCTCCAAACGGCATTTTAACAAGGAGCCACTGAAGAGAACAGAGCTGGTGGTTCCAGGCATTTCATGAATCCTGTTTTCTGAAACACAGTCCGGGTCTTTGCACATCCTGATCCCCTCTCACATTTCAAAGCCAGCCACCGTGTCCCTCCTGATGACGTGAAGGCAAAGCAGAAAGGAAGGAGCGGGGAGTGAAATGTGGGGAGATGAAAGCTGCCTTATCGACACGGCACCAGCCCTCCTGAGCTTCGACGAGACCTCATCAATCTGTGAGATATTAGAGGTCTGCCGGGGCCGCGCGGGAGGGGGGGACATCAGCGTGTGCTTGGTTGCCTCAAGGCCCTGACGACACACACAACTCCAGAGGATGGGGGTCCAATCAGAAGACAGGGATGACTTCACAGGTGCTCAGCGTTATGAGGTTGGCGAGCCGTCCAATCACTGATCAGTCCTGAAGGCCTGAAACAGAGTCAGAAATAAAACATATTTTAATCAGGGACGCACCGATGTGAACATTTCAGCCAATATCGATATTATTATTGCTGTTATGGCTGATAACTGATATTCACTGTTGTTACACAAACACACAAATTACTTATATACACACCAACCATTTCACCTCCCAAAACAGAAACACAAAGCTAAAAAGTAGGAAATCAATTAGGACGTTAACGCACAGAGGTCACTACAGTGTACAGCTGTTTAAAAGTGTTTTTTTTTTCTCATCCCATACAAAAAATAATCCAATTGGCCGGTCATTGCAATGGGAAAAAATTGTCAGTGAAACCAAGATGACTGACAGACAGGGAGAAAGACCAAACACCTTCCATAAAAAGATACCACTGCAGGTAAAAAAAAAAAATGATTACATCAAGTAAAGTCTAAGGTGACAAAAGATTTTCCAAGTTCTGATTTTATATTTGTAGGAAATACAGATTAAACGTATGTCCACTCAGTTGTACATCATGCATCACTAGTTTTAACTTCAATGCAATGTCAATTATTACCAAAATAATTCATATCCTACACTGTTTTGGTTGTAAATCAATTTTATGGTATTATAATGTAATTTGAGTTTTTTAATATATATGCATTAATCCTTTCACACTGCCTGCTAAAAACAATTATACATGCTATAAGAGAGATACATGCTATAAGAGATTATGTTCAGTTCGGAGATTTAACAGTTCAGAGACTTGAGAAGATTACATTCTGATAAAAACCAGTTACATTCTGATAAAAACCAGTTACATTCTGATAAAAACCAGTTACAGTCAAGATTCTATGAGGATCTACAGTCCAGGGATCTCGTTTACAAAGGATTACGTGGAAACCATTCTAAAAATGAACGTACGGCCAAAAGGCAGAAATGGCGTACGCCAAAAAAATAATTCAGATTTATAAAACCGTYCGTACGCACGTTTCTGCGCATCTTTCCTTTATAAATCACAGCCGCACGTCAGAGTTTGCGCACGAGGTCCCGCCTCAGGTTCTACCCTCTACACGCCCACACTCAACCATAAACAGTCAATGTAAAGTACCTCATGAATGTTAAGATGTATTTAAATCAGTCAGCTGATCAGTGATTGGCTCAGACATGCTCCTTCATGTGTCTGGAGGTTGACAGGTGCTGACTGACAGCTGCTCACCTGAACAGAATGTCTGTAATTGACACAGATTTTCCCCCATTTTGCTTTAATCTAACGATTTTTATAAAAAATAAAATCTCAGCTTCAAATTAATTTTCTCTCAGAGCCTGCAGGACGATAAAAACAATAAAAATAAAATTAAATAAGTCAGATAAAATTAAAAGTAAGTCCACCCCTCTTCTCCTCGTCCTCTCCCCCTCCTGCCTGCTCTGTTATCCGCGGCAGACACCCCCGCCCCGTGCACACACACACACACACGCATCCCCCCCACACGCGTGACAAACATGGAATTTAAACGTGAAGGTTTATAACATTCACACTGGTGAGGTGGATGCGCCCTGCACGTGTATCCAAAGCGTGACTTTTGCTGTCCTGCTCGGGGAGGGGTCTGTGGGTCAGGGAGGGGTCTGTGGGTCGGGGAGGGGTCTGTGGGTCAGGGAGGGGTCTGTGGGTCAGGGTCGTCTGAGGAGGAAGCAGATGAAGGGGACACACGGGAACTTTTATTCAAGATTTAAGTTTTTTTATTTCAAAGGTCCTCATGGCTCAGCAGCAGCAGCAGAAGCATAAATATTACTGTTCAGAAAGCTGATGATAAAGTTGAATAAAAATCTAAGTCTGATGAAGGTAAATTAAATATCTGACAGTGATCATTACACAGTGTGGCTCTAATTCCTCACTTCACCATCTGTGTCGCAGTTTCACGTCTCCAAAATGAGCGTACGCATGGGTCAGAGCTGGCGTGAGGCACCGCACATTTTCACGTCAAGTTTGGATTTTATAAATCACAACCTTGGCGTAAAAAGTGGCGTACGCAAGTTTCTGGGCTCAAATTGTGCGTACGCAAGTTTTATAAATCCGACCCCAGATATTTGTCACACTATCCTTCTCAGTTCAGAGAGAATATCTCTTTATTTTGTAACCTTGTTTTACATCCTAAAGATGAATAAAAACACGTGGTGAAAACATCATTTTATGTTTATGTTAACTTTTACATTTATCAATAGAGCTCAAATAGAGAGGACTAGTGAAGGAACAACAACTACATAACTAAATTACAACTATAAATATATAATTACCTATTTAAGATGCGTATATATTTTTTCAAACCTTGTTTTACATCCCTAAGGATGTATAAAAACATTTAGCAAAAAAATCCTGACTGAGTTTGTCATAATTCATGCATTACAGGATCAGCCATCTTATCAGACCGATACTAAAACATGACCAATATCGTCCAATACTGATGTTTACGCAGATATATCGTGCATCCCTAATTTTAACAATTAAACTTCATACTAATGTAGGTCAAAGGAAAAATATTGTTTGTTCAAAAGAATTAGCAAAAGTATCACCGACATAATAAGAGAATTGATTCAGAAAAAATTTGACATCTATGAGGTGCCGAATGTAAAAATTAAACAAAATAATTAAAGCACTTTCTTCACATTCACTGTATTTTTTTCACATTTCCTGCATCTTTCTTGTATCTTTGTGAAGAAAGTGCAATTTTTTTTCCCCCGTTGAATTTTTACATTCGGCACCCCAAAAACATCCATCAGCTTTCTTTAACAAAGCTTTAAAAAGCTACAGAGAGACTCTTATTTTGAAACTTACACGTGAAAAAGTTAAAACCTCTTCCTGTTTGCTCTTTTTAAGATATTAGTTTTATGAGTTGTCAGCAAAGTACTGCATGAATCTTTTATTTATTTATTTTTGTATACTTTATTCTGGCTTATTACTCATACGGTGCAGTCATTGTCGCCTGCTGCCATTAAATTTGGTATTCATGTAATTACCTGTGTCTGTATGAGCATGTTTTTATCTTTGTTTCTTTATCTGTTAATAAAGTATCTCATGAATCACTGGATTGTTTTTAATAAAACTCTGAAATTAAATTGTTGAATGTTTATTCCAGCTGTTTATGGTAAAAACCCAGTTGTTCCAGTAAAAGCCTCACAATCAGCTGTAAACAGAGCGGGATTGTTTGGGCAGTAAAGTTTCAGCGTCACGGTCTGAGGAGGTTAGATCCCAGGAATGCAGACTGACACAAAACAGGCACACACAATGGCCAACTCATGAGCGAACGGAGATGGCTGATGAGGAGAGGGGCGGAGCTTAAAGAAACAGGAAACAGGTGAGAGCGGGCGTGGCAGGATGGAGCTGGGAAAATGAACTGTTTGAGCACAAAGGATGAGAACTAAACACTAAAATCCCAAATTCTGAGAACAAATAAACCAAAAGGAACTAGAGAAGTTTCATTTATGCATTAATACTTAACGCTGAAATATTCGTCCTGAAAGCAGCTGAAAAAAGCTGAAAATGTTCAAACAGCAAAACTGTTAATGTGAGTTAAATTTGAACTATTTTCTTTAGCTGATGGTAGGAAGACAAGTAGAGTAGCAGAAACAATTTGAAATTACCAGACAAATGGTGAAAGGAGTACAAAATAATTGCGAATTTTTGCGAAATAGCTAAAGCAGCCAAAATTAGCAGAAAAATAGCTGAAATCAGCACAAAGATGCAGAAAGAGCATGTTTGCCTAATTAAGCAGTTAGAAGCTGAAATGATCACATAAATGTGAATTTAGAGGAAAAAAACCTAAAAAAATAGATACAAAGTAGCTAAAAACGTGAAAAAAAGCTGAAAATAGCAAAAAAACAGCTAAAATAAGAAAAAGGAACAAAAATGTTTAAGTTATTATTGTTTGTTTTATTTCACTCAAAAAACAACACAAACTATATAAATACAATATTATTATTATATTTTTTAATAAAAAGAAAAAAGAAAAGTTGTGAATGAAAAGGCAGAGTCAAGAAAGAAATCTTATATCTGCCCTTTATTAAACGAAGCTAGTTGAAAGAAGAAAAAGTGAAAGACACGGTAAACATTTATAAACACTTTCACGGTTTGTAAAGATGAAGACAGCTCCGTTCATTTTCAACGAGAAAAAAGTGGCAGAAAAAGCTAAATATGTCAAAACGTATAAATGGCTGAAACATCAAAGGTCATATCAGGCGATGAGCTGAAGGTTTGATGTGTTAAAAAATGGATCATCTCAATAACTCTACCAACAAAACACCAAAGATCTCTTCTAAAACCACAGATCCTGACATCCAGCAGTGGGGAGGTTCCTGTCCAGTGTTGCCAGGTGTACGATAATTATCGTATTTGTACGATAATTTAGCCCTCTGTACGATGTACGATCAATAATCCCAAAAATCCCATAATGTACGATAATTTGACGCTCCAATGTGTGACGTAATCGACCCGACACGCTGCTCGCTGACATGAGAGGTGGCGGGTTGTGGAACACAGCCGTGATGATTTAGCGACTTTCTCGCTGTATTTACAAACTTCATTTACTTCATTCAAGGTTTTCTGGGGGAGAACCCCAGACC